AACAAATAGATATTAAAACTGTAGACGACTTTCAAAAGTATGTCAAACAAACGGATGACATCTTTCACGGATTAGATGTGGAAAAGGTGTCCGAGTTTTACCTGAAGGGTGTGAACACCAGTAGTCCACTCGCTATATATAAGGCTTTTAATCGGTTTTTCGGTGATTTAATGACCAATTGTCCTAATTATCTGTTTGCCAAGCACCTTGCACAAATTGTCAAAAACAAACATAACGTTTACTTTTATGAGTGGACTTATCAGAGTCAGTACTTTTCCAAACTAATAGGATGCGATGAGGCTACCATGGGCATTTGTCACGGCGCAGACATACCCTATATATTTGGTATGCCGTTTCAAATTCCTAAGCAAGCACATTTGTTTACAGAGCTGGATGAGAAATTTGCTGCTGATATTATGACACTCTGGTCTAATTTTGCTAAAACAGGGTATCATATATTTATGTCTAAAATAATTTTAAGTTTTTAATTATATTTAAATTGATAGCAAACCGGACACACTATGGCCTCAATTATTGGATAGTAATGTGATTTCAGTCCGTGATTTGAATCCACGGAATATGAGTCGAGTATTGGATAATCCCTTTCACACCACTTGTGATGACTTTTGGAAAAATTATTACTTTTAAATCAAAATAAATCATTTATACATTAAAATTACTATATTTTCGCGAAAAATGATGAATTGTTTAGAATTCTGATCAAAATTTGCAAACAAGGATGGCCAGTAATTCTATTGAAACCCGCATTAACATTTCAGCAAATATCTAATATATATTTTGAGACAATTTAACAAAACATAATCACCTAGGTGTTAAGGACAATAAGTATTATACTCAAGATTATGATGAAATATAAAATTTATTTCTTAATTATAGAGAAATACTTACTATTTGTAAATGTTAGTGCATTATAGACGTTTCGATGTGATAATAAGTGTCTATCATAATTTATATAACATTACCAATATCTATTTTAATGTCAGATATAATTTTTAGAGAATATTAGTAAGCAAGCATGGTTCGTTTTATTATTATATTTTATAACTACATATTTTTGATTTTTATTTAAGTACTATGAGATTTTTATATAGAAATGACTCCCTATGATTTATAATACGAAATTGAAACCACTATTGATGGCAAACCTGTCGGTGCGGATGTGGGTAAGAATGGGTCGACTCAAATAGAAATGAAGTTAAAACTAATGTGAGCTTGTCACAATAATAGGTAAAGACGATGTCGGAAGATTAATTAATTATCAATTTAATTAAATTAAATTACATATATAAGCTAAGAGCATCAAATAATGGTAAAATGTACAATAATTATCTTTCTAACTGCAATATTTAAAAAGTTATGTACGTTTAAAAATACAGTATTTTCTTACAGTTTGTCTTACATTTATAAGTAAATCATTATAACAATCATATTTTTATTGGAATTGTGAAGCAATTGTTGAGATATCAGGATAAATTGTCATGTGTTCAACCATATTATCATGGTCACCTTCATCGATAACTGTGTTATCGCTGTCAATCTCTGTATTATCATTACATATATCATATATCATTCTGACAATAATAAAAATTCAAAATGTAAACATAAATTAAATCTTCCGACATCCTCTTTTGTAAGTGTTTTTAAAATTTTATTTAAATTTCTATTGAAAAATCCAATCAAATTGTTTTTCATGCGATTATCTTGGATTTCGTACAGAAATATAGCCTTTCATTCAATTTTATTTGCATTTTCGCTAAAATTTACAAAATTCTCAGACCATTGAGGACAGGGATGCATGTGTTTCATGATATTTGGAAACCAACTTGGGGTATTGTCCCCCTCATGTAGCACGTCCACTTCCCTATTAATAAATCAGCTTTCACAATGACCAATAAGCGAGCCTATCACAATAATAGGTCAATTTTGAAAATGTTTTTAAAATTTTATTTATATTTCTGTTGAAAAATGCAATCAAATTGTTTTTCATGCGATTATCTTGGATTTTGTACCGAAACCTCGCTGAATAGGGGCTCTCACTCACGATTGGGACTTCAAATACTCTGTTTGAGAGCTCAACGAACACTGAAATACATTTTCAGCACTTCATATGTACAGCAAAAACACAAAAAGCGTTCAAAACCTTAAAAACGAGAAAACTCTAGAAATATAACGAATAGGTTGTAAAGTTTGCATTCAATTATAAAACACTTTAAAAATGACAGTAAAAGTCAAACATAACTAAACTAAACATAACTAAAAGTCAATTAATATATCGCGAATACTGTAATAACATTCAGTCTCACCTAACAGTACCACCAGTACAGTATAACCAACTGTCCCACTTCATTGCCTTTCATTCAAATATTTTTGCGTTTTCACTAAAAATTTTCCAAATTTGCAAACCATTGTTGTGCTCAATTTAAAGTATAAAGTAGAAATGTCACTATATTTTATTTTAAAGGTTACACTGAATTTAAAATTACAATACTAAAATTTTGCGATTATTAATCAAAATAATAAAACTAATTTATTGCATACTAGTAAAATAATTTGCACAAATATCCTTGTAACTTTTGTACTAGTTGAGTTTATTTTTACATCATTGTTAACTGAGATGCACTTGAAGAGCACTTATTTTTGAAATAATAGTAAATTATTAAAGTACGTTTGGTGCTAGGTAAATTACACATACATTAAAGTACTCTACTCTACAAAACATTATTAATTATAAGTGTAAAAAGTGTATTAATTACTGTAAAATTCCTGAGTTCTCAACTCCTCAGTTATGTATAGCTCTCAGTTATGAACTGTAAAATATTTTTTGACGGATTGCCTATACCTATAATGTTAAATACATTCTCTACTATGAACTTCCCAGTTATGTATGCAAAATGAGTGACTTATGTACCAAAACCTACTCCGAGTTATGTATGACGTGGTAGTTATTAGGAGATAACCTGTAGTTTACACATTAAAAACATAACATTTCAATACTTACTTTAACAAATAATTTTTTTGCATGTTAAAATTGTAAAAACATTATGATTTATGCATATACTGTACCAGGAAAAGTTTTTTAAAATAAAGTAGTGTCGGCTAAATATCTCTGACAATTTCATAAGCAGGCAATCCAGATTTGTTGAGATATTTTTCCAAATAAATCTGAAGTTTTATACAAAGATTTAGAAGAGGATCTAACATAAAATTATGGTAAAATTAAAAATTTAAATTTCTTTAACTTCTATAAAAACCTTTAAAAACTAATAAATATTATTTTTTATAAAATATTTTTATGTTATGAGTATTTTGAATAGGATACTATATTGATTTTAGATATTAATTTACAATTATATTTTGAAAAATATCATTTAATCTTGATTGCCTGCTTTGGTATTTGTCTGAGATATTTTGGCAACACTATTTTATTTTCTTAGCAAGTTTTTCTTTAGCAATATTTAGTTATTTTATTTCTTTATAAATTAATTTAAGAGTCAAATATCCTTTTTCCATCATTATCCTTTGACCTCAAATATGGAAACAATTTATATAATTGTCTTTAATTTTTGTTATCGATTATATAAATTAGTTATAAAAGTTGATATTGCGGGTTAATACGAAGACACAATTTAATTTTGATTAGATATTGAATCATAAATTAAAATGCATTAATTTTTAACCATTAAATCCAAAGTGCCAGTTTGCCATATTTGGGCTATGTTCTAACATTTTTTTGAACACATTCTCTGTTATGAACGCTCTCAGTTATGTACAGATTTCACATGCAATAGGCCATACATAACTCAGGAATTTTACAGTACATTGATAAATATTGAATTTGATAATTATTAAAGATAGTGCCTTGGCAATCTATAAGTACCTGAAGCATTTAACATTTGAGTTTTTAATGAAAACTCATTTCTACGAGCATTAATGAATTAATATCGTAAACATGTTTATAAAATATAATTTATTTTTAATTTTTGTTGTGATAATTGTGACTAACGTTTTAATAATAAACTGTATTGACGTGAATACTACATCGGGTGTAGTTAGGGGTCAGACACTCGTCGCACAAAATAAAAGTATTGACCAGTTTTTAAACATACCATACGCTGAGCCACCCGTCGGAGGCCTAAGGTTTGCAAAACCACTGCCATTACAAACGCCTATAAAAGTAAGTTTCATATAATTTAAATGTACAACTAATCACCAATTACCATTATTATTTATTATTAAATTGATCAGTTGCATATTGATTAAGTAATTGATATAATTAGGATATAATAGACGGCACAAAACCGGGAAACTCATGTATTCAACCGGACAGCGGTAGTGATCTGACCACAAGTGAGGACTGTTTGGTACTAAACGTATGGACACCTAATTTGGGAAACAATGACGAGTCACCGGAAGCACCGGCACTTAAACCAGTCATGTTTTGGATTCACGGCGGGGGACTGACTATTAAAAGTATTGACCAGTTTTTAAACATACCATACGCTGAGCCACCCGTCGGAGGCCTAAGGTTTGCAAAACCACTGCCATTACAAACGCCTATAAAAGTAAGTTTCATATAATTTAAATTTACAACTAATCACTATTTACCATTATTATTTGTTATTAAATTTATCAGTTGCATATTGATGAATTAATTAATATGCCTGTATAATTAGGATATAATAGACGGTACAAAACCGGGAAACTCATGTATTCAACCGGACAGCGGTAGTGATCTGACCACAAGTGAGGACTGTTTGGTACTAAACGTATGGACACCTAATTTGGGAAACAATGACGAGTCACCGGAAGCACCGGCACTTAAACCAGTCATGTTTTGGATTCACGGCGGGGGACTGACTACTGGATCCATATTTCTAATGCCACCCTATAATGGCATAGATTTGGCCGCATATGATGTGGTGGTTGTGTCCACTAATTACAGATTAGGAGCGTTTGGGTTCCTGTTTGGGGACCGGGAGGACGCGCCCGGAAATGTCGGACTCTTTGATCAATCATTAGCTCTAAAATGGGTATAAATATTGTTATTTTGTGTAGAAATATAAAACTTAATTACAATACTATATGTAATATTAGGTGAGGGATAACATACACGCATTTGGTGGGGATAGGGATCAGATCACTATATTTGGTGAGAGCGGTGGTAGTAGATCGGTGTCCACCCATATTGTATCGCCGGTTTCAAAGGGTCTGTTTAAGAGGGCTATTATGGAAAGTGGGGCCCATTTGACTAATAAGGACAGGGATCTGATTAATACGACTGAAGCCCTTTCGGAGGCCAAACAAATAGCAAAACATGTGAATTGTAGTGAAACTGAGGATTGGTTGCAGTGTTTGCGAAAAGTGGACGCAAAGGATATCTTGAAATTAGAAAAATCTACAAACTTTCCGGTTGTGGGCACACAGTTTCTACCCATACCTACCCACAAGGCATTTGACGAACATTTATTAAATTATGGTTTGAATATTAAGTTTTAATAATCTAAGTATTAATCACTAATTATGATACATTTTTATACAGATATAGATTTAATAGCCGGGGTAACCAGGGATGAGGGCCCACTATTGGCAAAGCTTTTGTTAAAACAAATAGATATTAAAACTGTAGACGACTTTCAAAAGTATGTCAAACAAACGGATGACATCTTTCACGGATTAGATGTGGAAAAGGTGTCCGAGTTTTACCTGAAGGGTGTGAACACCAGTAGTCCGCTCGCTATATATAAAGCTTTTAATCGGTTTTTCGGTGATTTAATGACCAATTGCCCCAATTATCTGTTTGCCAAGCACCTTGCACAAATTGTCAAAAACAAACATAACGTTTACTTTTATGAGTGGACTTATCAGAGTCAGTACTTTGCCAAACTAAGTGGATGCGATGAGGCTACCATGGGCATTTGTCATGGCGCAGACATACCCTATATATTTGGTATACCGTTTCAAATTCCTAAGCAAGCACATTTGTTTACAGAGCTGGATGAGAAATTTGCTGCTGATATTATGACACTTTGGTCTAATTTTGCTAAAACAGGGTATCATATATTTATTTCTTAAGTAATTTTAAGTTTTTAATTATATTTAAATTGATAGCAAACCGGACACACTATGGCCTCAATTATTGGATAATAATGTGATTTCAGTCCGTGATTTGAATCCACGGAATATGAGTCGAGTATTGGATAATCCATTTCACACCACTTGTGATGACTTTTGGAAAAATTATTACTTTTAAATAAAAATGAATCAATTATATATTAAAATTATTATCGCGAAATAAATAATTATGTTTCATATACTGTACAGTATAGTTTGTAATTCAGTTATTTTTTATTTAAACATTATAATTTAATTATTTAATATAGCGGGTACAGTATATATTGTTTTGTTTTGAATAATTTTCATATAAATAATTTAAACTACTTATACTTCCTTTATTTCATATTGTATTTCATATCATATTGTATTCAAACTTTTGTGAACATTAAATTTTGGACGTCATCCAGATCATTACGTACTCTATTCTGTGGGAAAGGGGTAACGATTTGTAATCAACTTGTTGAGTCGAAAATTTGCAAAAATGATTAATTGTTTAGAATTCTGACCAAAATTTACACAAAACATAATCACCTAGGTGTTAAGGACAGTAAGTATTTTACCACGACATTATGATGAAATATAAAATTTATTTCTAAATTATAGAGAAATACTTACTATTTATAAATGTTAGTGCATTATAGACTTTTCTATGAGATAATAAGTGTCTATCATAATTTATATAACATTATCAATATCTATTTTAATGTCAGATATAATTTTTGTAGAGAATATTAGTAAGCAAGCATAGTTCCCTTATTATTATATTTTATAAAAACATATTTTTACTTTTTATTTAAGTACTATGAGATTTTTATATAAAAATACCCCCTATGATTTATAATACGAAATTGAAACTTAAATTATCTTATATTCCTGAAAAGTATCATTTATTATGAAATCTATTTTTGATTAAAAACTACTGAAGTGTTAGATAACATTGATTTTTATAAGTGTTTTGTCTTAACACTTATAATAAAAATATTTTGTTTCAATATTTCATAGGAAGGAATATTCAATAAAAGTGAAAAGTTTATATTTCTTTTTATTTTTGATTTAATAGTTCAGTACATTATGTAATAAATGTTCTAGGATATTAAACCAAAATCTTATTTTAGAATAGTTTATTAATAAATATTTTAAATCTATTATAAGGAAATCATACAAAAAGTATTAAACTGTATTAAATAGAAAGTGTTTAAAAATAGCTTTCATTTTTTGGTTGCAATAAATCTTAAGATATTGTAAGTATATAAATAAGCGACACAAATAAATTGCATAAATGGATGAAACTGATGGTCAATCAGCTGTTCCCCTATCACCGACACTATCCATAGTTACCATTACATCAACTGTTGAGGTAAGACATCAATTGGGATTTTATTATGATTATGAAATTGTTTGCTTTAACGGTATATAAAAACTATTTTATTTATAGGAAAAGAAGCGAATATTCTTTGAGTTGAATGACAGCCCAAGACATCGGCAAATGTGTCCTGAAAACAGTGAAAATAATATGAATTTTACAGACAATACCAGTGAATATACAGTGACTGTGGACAGGGATGTCATCGATACAACTATTACTGCAAATGATTTAAACACAGATAGAAACCTTAATAATAATAATGAATTTTTTACGGCAAATGTGATTAATTCACAAGGTTTTCGGGCTAACAGTGCTGTGAATGGTGGTCCAGCCCTTAGGAGTATTATGAGAGGTAGGGCTCTCACTCTAGACACCGTCTCTGCCATTAGATATCAAAGTAATAAATAACATAATGTTTGCAAAATATTTTAAACTAAAATTTAACATTTTTTAGATACAACGGAAACAATTACAGTTTCGCCACAAATAATACCCGACCACAGGGATAGGGATTACAGACCCTATTTTAATCACAATAATAAAAATATTAATATTAAACATAGTGAACCGACACGTACTGACAAACACGTGCCAAATATAAACACATTTGTCATAAATTTCATGTCAATTATGTACGCAATCCTTATGATAGCAATCAATGCCATGATTACTATATTTGAATTAAAGAGTAAATACAATAGGATTACTAATTCAGTGATGATTATAATGAATGGTTTGGGCTTTGCATGGATACTGTTCCTGCACTGGGATATCAAACGGTATAAACGATGGGCCGTTCAGTACTTGAACTCAAACCAGGGGACTGGTAGTGATGAGTGCGATGGCAGTGGTGTCCGTTCAGATAGTCTGACCCATCGGATGAGTATTACAACACTTGTGGTGTTTAATTCGCTGGAGAACTCTAAGCCGGCACATGTTGTGGATAGTGATAGTGACAGTATATCAAACACATCCCAAAAATTTAGACCTGGTTATAATTATTGCCAATCTCATTCTGGAAAATTTTATCTCAAATGTGGAATGATTGGTAAGTTTATATTTATTTTATAGTTTTATTAACATGTTAAATGTCAAAGGTATATGACAGTTTAATATTTATAAAATTTTTAAATGCTCCGGCAATTTAATGAGACTGTAACAAGTTAAATTAAAATTAAGTATAATCTATGATGAACTTTAAATGTTTTAACATTGTTCACTAATTGACTAAATATTTTTTTTGTATTGAACAGTATTTTGTTTCGGAAGTATCGTTCACATGGGTGTCCAGGTGTTCAGTCAGACCTACTTTTACATCAACGACAGTCCCCGGTGTCAGGACTTTCTCACCATATTTTGCTTATCCATACGAATCGTGTTCTCCTTCTATCAGCTCTACATTGCATTCAAATATTCAAATGTATGTAAAAATATTATTTTATAAAATAACTCCTAAACTATTATAATTACAAATTGATTTCATAGATATTGATATACCGGCACCAACTGTTAGCCAGGTTTGCGTTAATGCATTTGTTGGCCACATCCCTGTCCTCGTGGTTCAGGACTATTATCAGTGAGGCTGTGGATGATTATGTGGAGTCCATCCACGCGCTGAACCATACGTTAAATACAAGTAAAAACTACTTTAACTCAATGATTGAACACGAGATCCATTGCCTGGAGAGGACAGTCATCAATGATAAGTCGATGCAAACACTGCCCTATTTATATCCATTCACTATTGAGTTTAATATAATTATGGCATCCATTTGGTACATATGCTGGACTAATATCGGTATGTGTTTAATAATTATGTCGATAGGATTTAGTTTCATAAAAACTTACAAAAATACTTAACTTTAGTTGTAAACTAGTAAACTATATTTTCCCTGCGATAATAACCCACTTTCATAACATATTCAATTATTTTTATTTCATTATAAAAGTTGTTTGATATTGTGGTACAGTCTGTAACATATAACATATTTATTTATTATAAAACTTTTTAATATAGCATATGTAAAAAAACTAAATATTAAGTTATTACTATTTTCATTAATATGTACAGAAATTTAAAATGTAAAACATAATTGTCCTAATAATTACAGGCAAAGTGCACTCACATCCCGGGCCAGCCCACATCAAAGTTAAACCTAATCTATCGGACGGGGATCAGGAATTCGAGTACCGGTCGGCCATATCAATCAGCGCCGACTGTCACGCCAGTAATCGGGGTCTATTTGCCGGCATAACAACCCTATTAGCAACCGCCGTAACAATCATTATATTTTTCGCCACTCAGTCCTACGACCGCTTCGGGATATCCGTCTATTGCACACAAATAGGTGTCCTAACCCTTGTGTGTTGTATAGTCATACCCCTGGCCTACCACCAGACCCGTAAACTGAACGTGGTCACCCGGGAACACTTTAACTGCAACCATACCGTGATGGACGACCTACTTGTGCTCATACCGGTGCCGTTCTTTCTACTACACTATGTGTACCTAATTATGGCTGACATTCACGACGAGAATTCACCGGTGAATGTGTTTTTGATAGTGATATACGTGTTGACTATACTACAGGTGCTCATACAGTCACCGTTCATAGTGGATGGCATACGCCGGTGCTCTAACACCAAAGAGCTCCGGTATGTGAAGCCCGGCAGGAATTATATAATGTTTGCTCTCATACTGAACATAACGCTATGGATATTGAATACGTTTGAGTTGAGATATGTGGACAGGTATCAGGGAATGGAACATTATTTTGGTAAGCTCACCTGGATGATATTGTCCAATGCAAATTTGCCGTTGATGCTATTTTATCGGTTTCATTCATCTGTATGTTTGAGTCATATATGGAAGTATGCCTATGAAAAAGATACCAGTGCCTAAAGTGGTCTAGATAATAAATAGCTACAATTTACTATTGTGAAATGCAACTAGTAATTTATATATAAAGTTAATGTTATACTGTATTTTCATTTCTACAATGAAGCATAAATTAATTATATCATTCAAATAAAATCATTTTTGAAAATTTTATCATTGTTTGCAAATACAAACATTTTTTAGTTTTTAATAAAAACTGCTAAAAATTTCTGAACAATTGAAACACAAAAACGGTTGAAAATACAAATCAAACACAAAACCGGCGATAATTGTGTCTAAAACAGGACAGACACCGGACAAGACATCACCGCAAAGGACATCGAAATAGCGATGAATAACACAAACAAATCGTTGCGACGAATAAACAACGAAATGCTGGAACTCCAGAGGAATCCCATTCCGGGTATCAGTGCCGCGCCCTACCCGCCCGGTAACGACCCCTACCAATGGGTGGGCAACATCACGGGCCCGCCCGATACCCCGTACGCGGGCGGACTGTTTATCGTGAAGATCCAGTTCCCGCGTGACTACCCCTTCCACGCGCCGCACATTGTCTTTCAGACCCGTGTCTATCACCCGAACATCAGCGACAAGGGATGCATATGTCTGGACACACTTAAGCAGAACTGGAGCTCAGCCCTCACTATAGGACAGGTGTTGCTCACTATACAGCAACTGTTGGCCGATCCCAACCCCCGCGACCCCCTCTCCTACGGGGTCGCCCAGGAGTACCTCAACAACAGACCGGTGTTTGATCAGAAGGCCAGGGAGTATACCCGAGAGTACGCCCGACCCCCTCCACCTGCTGCTCAAAATAGTGGTAGTGGTGGCGGTAGTGGTGGCACCGGTAGTCAATAGAATATAGCAAATTCAGTGGATGTGTATGATTAGTGAATAAAGATATGAATTTATGTTATAAATAGGTTTAGATTTTATTTTTAATGTTACTTCATATTGGTAATCATGAGTATTATAAATAGTTTATAGAATTAGTAGTTTTTATTATCAATGTGTTATTTGTAAGACAATAATTGTAATTTTAATTTACAGTATAAATTTAAAACACAAGTATTTTCAAGCAATCATTTGTGAAACTTTAAAACATAAGTATTAAATGATTAGTTTTAAAAAATACAATAATTTCTAAAATATTAATTATAAATGCAACGAAAAGCCCGATTAAACATACGTTGAATGAATTTTGCAATTGATTTAAGTTTAGCTCATATTTATAAACGTGTTGTTTATTATAATAATTGTTATGTTTTGATGAAATGTTAAAATAATACTTTTCTTTCCAGTGGTCTATAAGTCCGGCGCTTATTATATCCATAATCCTGTAAACAAACAAAAATAATTAATTTTAAATAAAAATTAAATAAATAAAATTCATACAGTTTATTAAAATGCGTGAAATGTTCAAACTTCTTGTTAAATGCAATGGCAATTAAATCGTTGAATATATTTGATACCGTGGATATTGAGGGAAAATTATAATTAATTGTTTTACGAATTATATTATATTCAATCAGGGTCCTATCGTCGATATAAACATACTTATTTGGCGCTCGGCTTAAAATGTCAAACGCCTCATAAATATAGCGCACATGAATTATTGATTTATTAACATTATGGACGTCCAGGTTATTGGAGGTACTCTATCAGCAAATAATTATAAAATTATTATCCGTTTATTAAAACTAATTAAATTGAATATGCCCTATCAACATGACTAGTGTTGTAAATCACTAAAATGTTTTTGTATCATTTGTATTGGCAATACAGTATTGCATTCAATGTATACCTTCTATGGAAAGTGCAATACAAATGATACAAACCTTTCAGGGGCTACAACACAAGTCATGTTAATTGAGCTTGTTGATATACCACTTTTATTATGTAATCAATCAAATCAGTCGATCCTTCATAAAATATGTATTCAATTTGTCCGACACTTTTAGCATGTATTAAGTCATTAATGGTATCAATTTGTTTGGGTGGAGTGGGCACCGATATCCTACTATACAGTTCCCCTCCGTAACTAAACCTCAGTATAATTGCCGCCAAAAGCCAGATTATTGTTAAAAACCTTGATAATATTTGTTTGGAAAAATATTTTACGGGTTGTGAGAGTAGTATTGAAATGAAGGGACAACTTGATATAAATCGCTTATAAATCTTATAATTAATTAATGTGTTTATTATGTTTAAAATAATCAGGGAACATAGTATTAATGACCAAATTTTAAAATCAAACGGTGCTAGCAACGATGTTGTGTATGACTGTTTATAATCAACCGCAGGTACTGTAAATGACACGGGTGATATATAGTGTGGGTAGGTGAATTTTACCGCACGTGTGCGTTCCGCAATTATGGACAAGCATCCAATACCAAAATCTGCTTGCTACATTTAAATAAATAAAAATTAATTTGTTTACATTATATAAATTATGTAAATACATTTTGTTGAACAGCGCCTATCATACCGTCCCAGGTATTATTTTCTAATTCATGCCCCCAGGTATAATTACAATCAATTATTTCAAATGTGAAATTTAAGTATTTACTTAATGTGTATACCAATGATCCCTCAAATCCATTAATAATTGCAGTATTTTTGTTATTAATGAAATTATCATTGAAATCAAAATAAGGGAAAACCTTAAGAAAAATACAGAATTCATATTAAAACTTTGCTAGTATGAATTTATAAATTGTTTAGATTACGTGTTTATTAGATGCAATACGAAAATGTTTGCCCATAAAATTTATCATGACCAAAATTAATAAAAACAATTGTGATGATTTACTTTAGACACAGACATACGGTAGAAAAAATGCAGTAATTTTTTTCAGTAAATATAATATTAAATATTATTGGAAATATTTTTCAATTATAGTTCATTAATGCATTACTTTCTATGTGCAATGTTAAGGTTGCTATATTTCTGAGTAACTCACATTTAATTATAAATTAATATATAATTATATATAAAATACATAACTTGCTTGCTTTTTAGGTCAATATAATTTGTAAGTTTGTCACTGTATGCACCTATTAATTAATTAAGACCTCATTGTTATATAAATTGAAATATCTTAAATATTAAATACAGTATATTATATACTGTAGAAATATTTACATTGAATTTATATTGAATTATAAAATATGGTCGATATTTGTTTGTGGCATTCAATTATTTTATTTTTATTATATTAAACTTACACGTGTTCATTAAAGATAATTATTTTTATAAATAGATTATTATAACTATTTAATGTCATTTTTCAAAAATGACATCTATAGAAAATAATTTAATTAGGTCTCAAATGTACTAAAAGCATGTGATTTTAATATATTGGTAAAATAAAATTTAATATTAATACAGTATGCCAAAAAACAAAGATTTAAATTAATATTTTTTCCGAATGTATGATTTAACATTAAAAAGAAATAATTAATGAACTTACTTGTTTATTTTCCATGTTTATTTGTAAAATGTAACAATTTCTAAAATACTAATTATAAAGGCAATTACAATCCCAATGAAACATACTTCAAATGAATTTTTTAATTGTTTTAAATTTAGTTTATTTATGTTAATGTATTGTTTATTACTGTAGTAATTATATTTTGGATTCATTGCTAAATAATACTTTTCTTTCCAGTAGTTTATAAGTCCGGCACTTATTATATCCATAATTCTGTACACATATAAAATAATGTTAAATTTAAATTAGCTAGTAAACAACCATTATTAAATGCAAAATAAACTTTCTTACAATTTATTAAAATCCATAAAATATTCATTATTTTTGTTGAATGCAATAGACATGAAATCATTGAATATATTTGAGTCCTTAAAAATTGGGGGCAAATAATAGTCGACTTTTGTAGCAATGATTTGGTACTCAATTAGAGTCCGATCGCCGATATAAACGTATTGATTGGGGAAGCGTTTCATGATATCAAATGCTTGTTGGATATACTTCACAGACATCCCTGATTTATGACTAACCGTTTGATAGGAACTCTATGAGAAAACAATGTTTAATTATAAATTATATTAATATCGCAGTACATAATCAAACAATATACCCATTTTGCTAAGTAACCAATCACACTTTTTGCTCTCTCATTATATATATAATCGATTTGACCGATACTTTTGGCATACATTAAGTCATCAATGGTTTCCAAATGCTTGGGTTTTATTGGCACTGATATCCGGCTGTACAGTTCCCCTCCATAGATAAGCCTCAGTATAAATGCCGTCAAAAGCCAAATAATTATCAGAAATCTTAATATAATGTCAGTGGAAATATATTTTACAGGTTGTGAGAGTAGCATAACAATAAAATCACAAGTTATTATAAATCGCTTATGAATCTTGTAATTAATTATTATGTTTATTATGTATAACACAATCAGTGAACATAGTATTAGTGACCATATTTTATGGTGAAAGGGTGCTAACAGGGATGTCGTGTATGACTGGGTATTATCCAATACTTGCGCTGTAAATGACATGGCTGTTATGTAGTGCGGGTGTGTAAATTTAACCACACGTGCACGGTCATCAAATATGGACAAGCATCCTATGGCAAAATCTGTTGTCTACATTAAATAGTACATTAAATGCATTAAAACTCTTAACTAACATTATAATCAATTTTTAAAGAAGTACATTTTGTTGGACAGCACCTATCATACCATCCCAGGTATTATTACTCAATTTATGTCCCCAATTCTCGTTGAAATCCAAAATATCAAAAGTAAAATTCAAATATTTACTCATTGTTTTCAATATAGACCCCTCAAAACCATTAAGAATTATATTATTTTTGTTATTTTTAAAATCATAAGTGAAATCAAAATATGGAAACACCTACAGTCAGAGTTATAAACATTATTAAAACTTTTTGCATTATTATTATTATAAATAAAATTTAAATAATATTTTTAAATTGAGTAATTTACCGTACATGTTTATTTGATGCTATGCGCAATCGTTTACCCATAAAATTTATCATGAATAGATTGAGCAAGGATACTTTAGTTAAAATTTAGGATTTATATCTAAAATTTAAAGTAACTAACTTTATTAAGTTTATTAAATATTTAAAAATGATAATAATGAATTACCTTACATGTTAGACTATTGAATTATTAAATATGATCGATAAATGTTATGCGATTAAATTATAATATTATAAAAGCATGTATTCATTAAAAATAATTATGTTTATGAATAGATCCTTATAAATAATAATTATTATTTCAGGTTTTATATATTTTGTAATTGGCATTTATTGCAAGTAATTTAATAAATAATTATGTGCATGCATGTGTACAAAATTATAATGTATCACATTTATTAATAATAAAGTATTCAATAAAATGAAATGCAAATAATTTCAAAACAATAATTATAAATGCAATCAAACATCCAATAAAGAATATTATTTTAAATAATTATTTAATTATTACAGTTGTCATATTTATTATATAGTAGTTTTAATTTAAAAATTGTTTTGTAAAACCTTAGAGTTTACATGGATCAAATAACATTAACCTATTTTTAAATAATAGCTTATGTCCAGAGGTTATTGAATTAAATTGAATGTTTTATAAAGTAATTTTTAAACAACTTTAATTATATTTAATTAAATAAATTATTACAATAACCAAGAATATAGTACTTTAACATGTTAGGCAAAGTTTTATTAATATATAATTCTATAATATTCTGTTAACATAGTGTTTACATATTAATACTTTAAACACTATCTTTAAATGTGTTAATAATTGCTAATTAATTCTAAAAATAAATAAGGACATATTTAGTTATTTTT